TATATATATATATATATATATATAAATTTGTAGCAACGGTCAAACAAAGTTTGGACCTAATTTTTTCCTAAAAAATGGGAAATTAATGTCATCTGGAATTAGCTGTGGCAGCCATCTTGAATCAGGTTGACTCCACAAGCCAACTAGCTTTAGATGTATGTGTAATTAATAGTTTCTGAGAGTTGCATTAAAATTTGTTCAGTTCATGAGGTATTTTGCTAACAAGCATACTTACAAACACAAAGAGTTCTATACTGTATAAAATGCCTGTATGCGGTAAAACCATTAAAACAAGTTTATATTGTTTTTTTCTTGTTTTTGATCATTGACAAGTTATTTTTAGAAGATTTTATCTTTAGATGACGAGTCGCCATCCTAATTTTTTACAGGGAAAAGAAAATTTGTAGGTTTTAAAGTCCATCACAAGTTCAGACAATTGGATTGTAATTCAGGGATTAAGAAGCCACTTCACTTGAGGATGAACAACAGAGGGTCAATGGAATAAATTAAGATGAAGCTGTAAAAAATAAAATAAAAAAAACTCCATGTCTGCTGAATCTTTTCTGGTGCATTCAACACATTCAGTATTTATTTGTCTTCCATCACACAATCTCTACAGCTGAGTGTGAACTTCTGGCTGCACAGTCTGGACTCTGTTTAAATAAGTTTGACACTTCCTGCATGAAGCCAGAAGTGCAGCCATGAAACACAATGTGACCACAGCCGCCGATATATGTGGTCCGAGTGAAGACCAGGTCCCATCCTGGGCCAAAGGGGAACTCTCAGGAGGATCACTGAAGAAAAAGAAACAATTATATAAGTATTTGTGACATCCTGATATGAAGCAGCAGAGTGGATTGAAGCTATGCTCACCGTAAGTCACGAGCAGGAAGTGGGTCGCTGTCTTCCAAAGGAGGAGTAACATCAGGATACAGACAGAACCTTCTGTCTGGACAAAAAACTAAACCCTGGTATCCTTTGATCTGAGGAGAGAAAAAAAACACTAAATGTATATAGAACTGGTTCAAATTTGCCCTGTAAACCAAAAAAACACTTTTATTACTATATTTGTCCAATTTCATTAAAATACAATAAAGTTTTAATAAACTTTCATCACACAGTGACAATGTGATTTGCTATGAAACAATATATTATTTAATGAATTTGTTTAACATGATGTTATTCTGTCTGATGGTTCTAACAGGATCGTGTTCGTGGTACACACTAGCAGTATAGCAGTAGCAGTATTTACTGTTTTTACCTGAATGGCACCTCCTGCAGGACAGTCCACCCATCCAGAGTCAGATACCTGGATCTGGTACTGGTTTGGTCCAGTACACCTGTGTCTGTAGCAGCGTCCGTCCACTGGGCGGCTGAGCTGAACAAAGTTTACCTGCAAAAAAAAAAAAAATGGAGTGAATCAAAAGTCTCAAGACACATTTTTATTTCAGAAAGAGAAGGGGAAATAAAATATCTAAATACTCCAGCAAGGAAAGTTTGAGGGGGTCTATCTTTTAGGCTATGTCCAGAACACGGCCGCCATCTTGAAAGCTGCCATATTGGGTTGAGGGCAAATTGGGAAGTGGGTCCTGCCAAAATCGTCTCAGAAATCATTTGCTGGATTTGGTTCAGATGGTATCAACACAGAAAGTTGCAACAACAACTGGGAACGGTGCCTGTGATGTTATGTTCAATGTGCTGTCCCTGCAGCTGAGCTGTGTCAAACAACAAAAGGGATAACATCTGAACCACAAGAGATACATCTGGTTGCAGAAATCCATTTCTGATCCAATATGGTGGTTTTCAAGATGGCGGCCTGGACATAGCGTGAAAGAMAGGCCCCCTCAGCCATTACTTGCTGAGGTTTTCAGATATTTGTTTTTCCTTTTGTCTTTGAAATAAAATGGTGTTCTGAGATTATTTACTCAGACCCAGGGGTTAAAAAATGCATTTAGTTATTGTTTTATATGGGTTTTAACTTGTGGAAAACTGCTAAATTTTGTTGCCATCACACACACACACACACACACACACACACACACACACACACACACACAC